CGTAAACCCTGATCGCCCTCAGAGTGAAGCCAAACTTCTTCCCCGAGCTGTGGATGACGACGGGCTGCCGCGGGTTGTTGGTGCAGAGCGAGGACGACTCCCTGCTGGGGGAGGAATCTCTGGAGGAAGGATCCGAGGAGAGGGAGTAAGGAGACAGTGGGCTGGCCAGCGGAGACACCCCAAAGATATCTGCAAGAATAAGAGATCATCACCAGCCGAGCCGAGCAGAGTCTTTTTTATTGAATCAGTGAGACAGTTTTTAAGGCCAATTCTTCCAAAAGCCAAATTATTTTTTTGAGGTGTTCCACAAGGAAGATACTCGGTCCCACTTTAGTTTGAATTTAAATGATAATTTAATAAAATTTGATAGGCGCAGGGACCTTTTCTGGAATAATTTAAACACCTCCATTTCAACTAACGATGCATTCTCCATTTTATCATACAACGTCTCTCTGTCTAAAATCCGAGGAGGTTTAGAGACCAATTTGAACAAGACAAAAATATGAAAACACGCTAATCAGAGCGTTTGTAACAGTAAAAAAAAGGCTGTACTGTATGGTTACAGGAATGAGCCTCTTTCTGCACTGCCAGAGAATCAGTCGTAGCGAGGTGTTGCTCTAAAGCTCGTTCATGATGAGGGGTGAAGCTAATGGGATTTTCTCTCCCGGCAGCGAGGACCTCTCACTCCCACCCTGTACGCTTTCTCTCCTTGTTAGCGGCTCGTACTCTGCTACTTGCCCCAAAGCCACTCTGTAAAATGGGACTCACAGCAGGTGTCATACCCGGCCAATTTTGCACAGATCCATAGTGCACTTTCATGTCTTTCACACGATTTGTTCAAAGCCTGTTGCTCTTTTTTTTGTCATTCTTGTCACGTTGTTGCTCTGACATACTTTAACCTTCATAAAAAATAAAGAAAAACCTGGTTGAGATCAGATCTGTGAGTGTGCATATCGTTTCTGTGTGTGTGTGAGCTGCTCACCTCCAGGGATGAGGAGGGACAGGGCCCCGGTGGAGATAGACTTTGGGACTTTGGGCACGGCCCCGCTCCGCTCTGCGGCGCTCTCGGGCCGCAGGGAGCTGGTGTGACTCAGGTGGTCTGTGGAGGTGTGACTGGTGCAGTCGGGGCTCTCCAACCCTTCACCTCGGGGCGTCAGCTGGTCCAGATGTTCAGAGAAACTTCCTACAAAATTACATGAGTAAGGACGAGTCTGGATGACAATATATTGCAGTATCAATATTTGGCCCAGCCCCTCTTTTGCATTGTAGAGTTACATAATAAGAAGCTCCAGTGCAGGGGTGGGCAACTGGCGGCACCCATCAACCCTCAACGTGGCCCAATTTTTACATATCAGTTAATTGGAAACATGAAGAAAACATGACAAAATTTGCCATGAAATCCTGAAAACCAGAAATATGTCCATAATAATATTTGATCACTGGTATATGTTGAGTTAAATTTGAGACATAATTGACTGTAATCGTTTTTGTATTCTACAATTTGGCCCCCTGGCGGTGAGAATTAAATGAATGTGGCCCCTTGCTGTGACCAAAGTTGCCCATCCCTTCTCTAGAGGGTGTAACTTCATACCGGACAGCGTGGCTCCGCTGTGCGTGCTGCCCGGAGTGGTGGCGTCGGGCTCGTCCCGCGGGAGCTCCGCCATGCTGAAGGAGGTCTTAGTGGGGTCGCCGAGGCCTGAGGTCTCGTCTCCTTCGCTCTCTGCCGAGATGGCAAACTTTGGCAACAAGTTGGGGCGAGGGCCCTGATTCACGCCGTCTGTGTCTGTGGAGTGGGACAGAGACGGCCTGCAGGAGAGAAGAGGACACAGAGAACTCATGAGACCCCCATGTGACGGCAAAATGTGGTTCAAGTCCTCTATTGCTTTTATTCATCCTTTTTCATCTTCATTTTGTTTTTATTTCCTGTGATGTACTTTTCATATTCTTATAATGTTCTTATAATTGATTGTATTGCTTTAATAACATGGCTTTATAGATTTAAAGGACCAATCTGTAGTGACTGAAATGATAAAGTGAGCTCACTATATGATCAGACATTAAGGAAACATGCTGTGTTGAAGTGCTGGCTTCTCTGACAACAATGCAGCAGCCAGTATGTCCTCCTTCTAACTTTAGATTCTGCTCCTGAATGCTCTGGATTTGTTTGGACCAGAGAAGGTAGGCGCTTTTAAGAAACCCCCACACGGCCGTTTTGGACACCCCTCGGTTTGCCAGATATGAGAGCAGTTATCAGGTCAACAGGTGTTGCAGCGATGGAAGCGGTCAAGAGAAGTGGTTCAGATAGAAGTGATTGTACCCGACCTAAAAAGCCTCTGCATGTTTCTAATAAGCTCCACGAGCAGAAACGTGCTCAAACTAGGATCAATATTGGAGATGCTTTTGAAAAATGGAGAGAGGCTAGAACACAGAAAGGTTTACAGACCCATGCAGAGCTGGATAAACACTGAAGCTTCAGAGTCCACCACATGGTGACCTGAGTGAGCATCCACTCTAGAGAGGGGGGGGGAGACAGCTCTCTATGATGTTTAGAATTTGGACTGCAGTACCCATTTTAAACACTAGGGGTCAGAGTTACATATTGTATACGGTACAGTGTTGAAGTGGAGAGGTTAAATATACTCAGGTTTTAAAGACTTGATTAAAGGTTGTCGTTGGCCGTACATTTCAGGGAAGTCTGGCGTCCAGCTGAGAGAGTCGACCGTCAGCGGGCTCTCGCTCTTCTTCCCCTCCGTCTCTCCTTTCTCCTCCAGGTGCCCACGAGACAAATCCAGACTGCTGTACACCTGAAAACACACACAGAGTATGATTCACCTTCACTGTGTGCAGGGTGTGAATGCTACCTCTGCACTTTGACTTTCAAATACTTAAAAAACATGCAGGGACAGCAGGTGAGGCTTTATAATAAAGAGGTTTTTAACATTAACACTGAAGACTCCATGTTTCTGTGTTGATGTGGACTTGAACATGTCAACACGTCCTCGGAGACACTTGTCTACTTTCTCTCCGTGTTGATGTGAGAGAGGAGCGTACTGCAATGCAGCACAATGACTCCCAGCTCGCTCCACTGTAGTGTGCAATGTGTCCCACATCACCAGGAAAGACAACAACAAAAAAAAAACAAGAGCTGATTTGCAAGCGGAAAATATATGCAAAGCTGAAATCTATGTTTAATACCGTAGGGCTAAATGGAGAGCCTGTGTGTGTGTGTGTGTGTGTGTGTGTGTGTGGGTGTGGGTGTGGATGGGAGACATATATTTCCATAAGAAATACAGAACACTCATCCTTTCTTTCCCATGAGAAAAGCAGCAGGACAGACGAGGGCACCGACTCATTTACATCCCTAAACGAGTATGTGAGAGGAAAGGGGGGGTGAGATGGGGGGGCCGAACCTTTGAGAATCTGTGAGAGCACGAGGAGAACTGCCGCAGCTCCACGTTGAAGTCTTCATCGTTTGTGTCCTCTTCCTCCGTCTCCAGGTGATGGTATCTCTCTGAGCGAGCTGGAAAATGAACAACAGAGGGGGTTTAGATGTCATTTCAACAACAAGGCAATTCAAAGTGCTTCACACAAGACATCAAGAGCATCATGACAGAGGAAAGAAAAGAAACATTAAAATAGAAAATTTAAAAAATCACTGAAATGATTAAATCTGAAAATATGTTCAAATAAAATAATTCAAATGAAATTAATTGAAATGAATAAAGTAAAGTTCTGTGATCAGAATCAGATCTGCACATCACGATATCTGACACATTTATTTTCACATTTTCACTTGAAACACGTTGTTAACCATCCTGACTAAAATGATTGGTGCTGAAGTCATCCCCCCCCGTTGTGATTTCCTTTGCGCGTGTGTTGAACTCACTGTCGAAGTAGCTGGTGTCGTCTTCAGACTCGAGCTGAGGGATGAACTCGGCCTTCTGCCTCAGCAGGCTGTTCCAGTCCAGGTTGTGGAAAAACTGATGCTGCTTGACTTCAGCAGCTCCTCCTGCAAACAGAAAGGAGGAAAAAATACAAAATTATTATGACAACCATCCTGCGACATTGAGCGCTTCAACTTTTACAGGAGTGTTATCGAAAGCATCCTCAGCAGCTCGCTGACAGTCTGGTTTGGTAACCTCACTGTGCAGGAGAGAAAATCCTTAAATAAAGTAGTTTGCCGTGCAGGTAGAATGATCGGTGTCAGCCTGTCATCTCTAGAAGAGATTTATAGTGCTAGGCTCCTGTCACATGCCCTCAGCATCACCAGGGACCCCACAGGTCATCCTGCTGCGAGTCTTTGTGTTCCTCTTCTTTCAGGCAGACGGTGTCGCTCTATTAAATGCACTTCGTCCTGTCATGCAAATAGTTTCGGCCCTCGCTGAGCAAACTTGTATGATTCACTGGTATGTTTCTCATGTGGCCTTGCTGTCTCTGTTTTTTTTATTTATTCTTCCTTCTTATTTATATTTATATTTATATTGCCTGTTTTTTAATACTCACTGTCCTGTGTCTGTGTCCAGTTGTTCTGTCACTCTTGCAAATGTTTTCCAATGTGGTTTTCATGCTACAAATGGCAATGAACTGAACTGAACTGAACTGAACTGAACTTCAGTTACACACCGGAGATGAAGAAGCGCTCACTCTGGGTTTTCCCTTTCCCCCCGTGGCTGCAGACCAAACTGATATCAGGACTATAAATTATGCAGAACTATTTCCAGCTCGTGACCTTTGGTGGACTAGCAGGAGGCTCCAGAAACTGAAACGTCTACATGTGTCGCTCTGATTTAAAGCCTTTGTCCCGGGGGTCACGTCCAGTTTTACAGCTACTGCTCGTACCGCCTGATCATGCATGGGACTAGATTCATGCACTGCCAAGGAAATAAATGGCAATTGATCAAAGGGAGAAAGAGGTGAGGAGGCCACAGGATGAAGCGCTCTGCGGTTAGGTGACCTCAATTTCTTCCCCCACTGGTGACTTGGAATAATGAGCGCTGCTGAGGTGGTGCTGACGGTCACATGAGGAGTTATGATGATCTGTTACCGCCTGAGCCACAGTTTGTGACCTCTGTGAGTTTGTACCTGTACGACCATCAGTGGCAGTCACAGGACGGACACATCCACCACTGCTTTTACTTGTGTTTTAATTGAAGAGACTATTTTTGAAAGTATCTCAGCCTCATCTGTTTTGTCAAATGAGTGTGGAATTATCTCCAGTTTCACAGCATCCTGACGTATTTGTTTGTACCTGTGCCCATCCTCTCCAGGGGATTCTGTCTGAGGAGCAGGGTGATGAGCTCCTGAGAGTCCAGAGGAGGGGCGTCCTCTCCTTCAGGCCAGTTGATCTCATCTGCAAACACAACATATCACAGGTGATCAGTTTGAATCTGAGTATGTAGTGACCTTTTGGATTGGAATAACATCAGTGCTTTGCTGTGGATGGGCTTCAAAACTGCCCTTCTGAAACCAATGGGCGACGTCACTCAGGCTTTGTCCATGTTAACATTCCATCTATTGGTAAAAAGCTACTTTAAAGGTCACATATCCTCCTCCTCCTCTTCAGTGTAAATACGTCTCAGAGCTCCTCAAAACATGTGTGTGAAGTTTCTTGTTCTAAATCCACTCTGATCCTGTATTTGATCATATCTATAAACCCCTCTATTTCAGCCCTGCTCAGAACAGGCTGTGTCTGTACCTTTAAATATGTAAATGAGCTGTGTCTGACCACGCCCCCTCTATAGAAGGGCTTTGGGTGTACTCGGTCTTTCTCGCTCCATGTCCTATTGTTTACGATGAGAAGGCAGACTCAGAGGGCAGAACAAACACCTAGCTGTGGGAGTGTCACCCACCTGGGGGAGAGGCTACTGCCCTTTGTGATGTCATGAAAGGAAAATCTCCAAATGGCCTGTTTGAGCACACATTTTCTGAAAAGTGGAGCAGGCAGAACACGGAGAGGATGGACTTTTCTCATCATTGGGGGGTTTGTAGACGGACTAGAGACACATGTTGGAGTTAGAGGAACATGGTGAAGTGGATTTTTGAATAATTTGTGAACTTTAAAATTCAGGATATTATATAAACTACCTTTTGCAGGGATAAAAAGCAGCTTTTTCATGTGCAAATATTTTTTTAATCTAGCAGTGTGGGACACAGCCACAAAATGTATGTACTTCTGGATGGAATTATTTTTCCTGCTGCCATTTTAAAGAATTTGTTTTCTGCATTTTGCCTTGATTGCTGCCTGCAGTCTAACCTACTGTTACGTTGCTGTTGTGTGGCATATACAGAAACACTGCTATGTTGTGTTCATTCTAGCCACTAGTTTAACATTTTATCAGCAACTTTCTCATTGATAAATACTGTAGAAAAAAAGAGACTGTGGTAGGGAGTTTCCCACTCGCTTGCTGAATGTGAATCTGCATTTAAAAATGCGTGTGTGTTAGAACAACAAGATTATCAGTACAAGCTTTAAGGTATGCATCATTTTTTTGTATTCTTATTCTGAGTTTGATATTTCCGGCTTCAGGCCTTTTTCACTTCACTGAGCCTGCTCGCAGCCCTCACAGTGTTTCTAATAAAACGGTTTCACCAGCAGAGTCAGACAAAACAAATCTACTTTTAAGATGTTTGCATATTGCTGAACGAGACAATCTACATAGGTCTCAATGAAAAGCCTCCTGGATAAGCTCTGAATGGGGGGCAGAGCCCGTCTGTGGCACGCTGGTTGTCTGCACAGTTTGTCCCCTATTTTAATCAAATTTGGGCGGGGAGCTATGAATATGTATGTGCGGCCTGAGGCCACAGTGGCATGCATTCAGCATGTTCAGACCCCTTTAATTAACAGTGGATCTCCGAGGCTGGGTACAGTGTGATTGAGAGCATACCAAATCAGTCACGTCATGCCATTCATTTCCACGCCGCCGCAGAAAAAAGGCTTTTATCCAACGCTGGCTAATAACACAATTCATCTGAGCCGCAACACTGACAAGATAAAAGCTCTGTTTTTGTTTTCAAGGGTGGAGATTTTCTCTGTGCTGCTGTCACCATGAGACCAAAAGAAAATAAACTAACATCATCATCGTATTAAAACTTCACTCGTGGTCTAAAGTCAAACAGAATCCACTTACTGCCGCCTGTTTCGCTAAAGGCCCTCGGGGAAATCTCCGTCTTCATTAACTCAGAGAAATATGCAAAACCAGACAATTCCATGTGGTCACTATTCCAATGTTTCATTCATGTCCTAATGACCTTTGGGAATGTATTGCTCCGTACTCGACAGAATTTGCATGCCAGACGATGTTCAACTTTGATCAAACCACCTTTAGCAACAGAAATGTGTCTGTTAAAATGTCATTCACGAGCTAACAGCAATAAATAAGAGCCGTTCAGTTAAGATAAGGCACTGAGGTTCAAAATGAAAAGCCAATAAAAACAAATACATCAGATGAAAATATGGTAGTTACTGGGTTAACATGTGGTAAATTGCAAAAAACAAATGGCCTCAATAAAATGTAAAAACCCAGCAGGCTCTGAATTTGAAATAGCACAACTACTAGCTTAAACTAGCAGTTAGCGTTCAAGGCTAGCTGTTAGCTGATGACTAAGGATCACACATGTACCGGTAATATTTGAGAAGCACTGATTTTACTGAGTCTGATAATATCAGAGGAGATAAAAAGGGGAATAAATTGATTTCATAGTGAGAAAAATTACAAATGAGGAAAAAGGAAAGTAATATGTTAACACGTATTAATGTTTGAGCGGCAGCGATTCTTCAGGCAATAATTACCACAGCCAATAAGATTTAAAACAGCAATGAATAGATCTTCTTATTTATTATGAATAACAACTAGTTTCTTCATTAATTCCATGAAATGCACTGTATTTAAAAAAACTTAAATAGCTAGCTTAAAGTAGCATGTAAATCCACGAGTTCGGTCGTCTGAAACTCGATGATTTTAATCAGAATGTGAGCGGACAGTCAGGCAGCACATACCGCTGATGGCCTGTCCAAACAGCTCCTCCGGTGTGTCTCCGAAAAAAGGCACGCAGCCTACGAGGAACTCGTAGAGGATGATGCCCATCGCCCACCAGTCCACCGGCTTCCCGTAGCCTTGTCTCAGGATCACCTCTGGGGCGATGTACTCTGGCGTTCCACACACCTGTAAAGGCAAAAAATAAACACAAAGTGTGAAGAGAGAAGTCTAGAAAATAAGATGTCAAAGCTGTTCATCTCGACGGTGAAAAACAAAACAAAGACCTGCTTATCGGAGAACTCCCTGGCGTCTTTCTCGATGTGTCCCTCGTACAGGTTGGTGGTCATGTTCATCAGGCCGACTTTGGACAACCCGAAATCTGTCAGCTTTATGTGTCCCATTGATGTAACCAGCAGACTGAGAGGAAGAAGAAGAACAAGAGGAACAGGAAGATTACAATAAATTACAAAATCAAAAGAACAAAAAATAACATTTAGCAAATATATTCAGACTTTAATTTACTCAAAGATTTAATAGGTTTAATGTATTCCTAGCATCATAGCAGTATTATGAATTGCTGACAGCGGTGAAATAGGATCAGATTGATAGTCGTTTTAGGACCCCAGGAACTTTTTCATGGTTCTGGGAACTGTTTTAACCCTCCTCCCTTTTTTTACTGATTCTGCACCGCAAGAACTCTGAACTATTTTAGTTCCTAGAACCCCCTTTGGAGGAACCTTTTTAGTTCTGCTTCAGAGTAAGTACCATGATGGTGCGAATGCAGACATAAAAAAGTCCTCATGGTGTGTAGTTCTCAGGGAACACCCTAGTGGGTAGTTCCTCTTCAAAAAGTCCCTAAAACTGTTTGGTTCTGAAAAAAACTTTTCATTCTGCACTGCAGGAACTCTGAACTATTTTAGTTCCTAGAACCCCGTCTAAAGGAACCTTTTTAGCCCCTGATTCAGAGTAGCTACTCTCCCAGCCCAAGAGGGACTTTGCTGGGATTTAATGGTGCACTGTGACAGTGTACGTTGATTGGTCGAACACAAGAGCCAATCCAGTACCACCAAACACCATTAAATCCCAGCGTAGGTGCGCTTGTGGCACAGCGGTTGTTATGCGCGCCCCATGTATGGAGGCTTTGGTCCTCTGGGTGGGCAGCCCAGGTTCGAATCCCACCTGTGGCTCCTTTACCGTATGTCGTTCCCTACTCTCTCTCTCCCTGATTTTCAGACTCTGTCCACTGTCCTACCTATCTCTACATTAAAGCAAAAAAAACCCCAAAAAAACCCAGCGTAAACGACCACTGTCAACAGATTAAAGGGACTGTGATCTCACTTGTCCGGTTTGAGGTCCCTGTGGACGATGCCGTAGTTGTGCAGATACTCCAGAGCCAGCACCGTCTCTGCAAAGTACATCCTGGCCATATCCACAGGGAGGGGTCCCATGTTCTTCAAAAGGGTGGCACAGTCTCCACCTGAAAACAAATCAATGGAGTGATGTCAGCGCACAGACACAGGAGACATTGTTTACAGCGTACGGCTTTTAGCCAGAGCACTATGCACTTAAAACAATCTGCTGACCTTCAACGTACTCCATGACCATGCACAGGTGTCGCCGGGTCTCAAAGGAGCAGTACATGGACACCACAAAGGGGTTCTCTGCGAAGGTGAGGATGTCTCTCTCCACAAAGGCCTGCTGGATCTGATTCCTCAGAATCAGGTTCTGCTTGTTGATCTTCTTCATGGCGAACCGCTGCTTGGTCTCTTTGTGTCGCACCAGATAAACGGCCCTGTGGAAATAACAGTGAACCAGTCAGAGCGGGGGAAATTACTTATCAGAAAAACAGCTCAGCTTGTACGAACAAGTGGATCAAAATAACTGAGTTATTGTTGATTGTTTGCCGTAATGTCAGAGCGACAGAGGCAGTAAATTCAAAGTGACTTCCTGTTTGAGCAGAGCATTTATTATCAGAGATTACAGAGTCCGGTAGAGGGTTAAGACGTCCTTACCCGTAGGCGCCGTTACTGATGAGTTTTGTCATCTCAAAGTCCAGTTCACAGGGTTTACGTCGGCACCGCAGAGCCGTGCTGAGGCTGTGAGACTGAGGGCGAGAAAAGAGATGAATACTTAGAAGATTCTAAGAAGATTCCCCCCCCCCCTCCCCACCGGATTGTTGATGGACGGTCTGCCTCCCCCCACCCCCTTGCTCCCTATCCCTCTTCCTGCATCTTATCCCATCTCTCCCCCTATCCCTTTCCAACCCCGGCGCAGTCTAGGCCTGTGAAGGCTGTTTCGTCATGAACCGGGGATCCGGCCAAAGATTTCTGCCTTTTAATAAGACAGTTTTTTCTTACCACTGTAACTTTTGCTGCTTTGCTAAAGTGCTAATGATGGATAGGCCGGGTCTTTGTAATATAGCAATAAGTAAGGTCTTTTACCTGCTTTTTGTAACATAACAATAAGTAAGGTCTTTTTACCTGCTCTTTTGTAATGTTAACAGACAAAGAGTAAGGTATTTTACCTGCTTTTTGTAAAGTGTCTTGAGATAACACTTGTTATGAGTTGACGCTATACAAATAAATTGAATTGAATTGAATTAGAAACAAACAAAAAATAAAAACTCAAGGAGATAAAATCAGTACTTTGCTTGTACACCTGCAGTCAAGACGGAGTGGATCAATAGAGTAATCAGTTTGTAAGAGCTTACAGAGTCATCGGTTTCTGGGGTTTCTGCGATCCCGCTGTCACAGCTGGTCAGCTGAGCGATTTCTGCACAAAGAAACACAACAAAGGAAACTCTGAGAGGGAAACTAGAGGTACTGCAGGTTCAATCAAAAGGTCTTTCATTTTATTCTAGATGTAATATCAGTGTGGGTTACATCTCATTTTCAGGATCCTTTGCACTCTGAGTCATCCCACTTTTCTTTGATTTTCTTATCGTCTTAAAAAACTAGAGTTCTTGTTGTTACACATAAAAGTAACATGAGAACTAGATATCAGTGCAGCCAATATTATCCAGCTGATATTAACCTAATAAAGATAAATCATGATTTCAGCATTACTTTGCCACAAAAGAGACAAAAGTATATCAGTAATCTTTTGTCACACTTCAAACTAAGGTCACAATATTCACTGTAAACTAGCGGCTAATTAGCATGCTAACTATTAGCATAATGGCTGATATTGTACTGTATTATACTGTAGCTAAAAGGTCATTAAGAGTTTGCCCTCCTGATTCCTGCTTATTGATGGTCAGTTATGAAGTTTTTGAACATGAATTATGATCTTAATATGTTTTACTTAGTTTAGCTTCTTATAAGGGAGAATCATATTGGTGCAAAATCAACGTAGCAAAGACTTTTCTTTGATTGCAGCTCATAAATGTACAATATCAGCGGCCATATTGGAAAGTGGTTTTTCACCTCATGTATGTTTTCAATAATAATAACTCTTTCCACAAGTGGAAGTGTATATACCTAGTATTATTCTACTATTGTATTTTTTCTCCCTTTATTTAACTGATGTAAATATTTTTGATTTTTAACTTCTTGTTATTTTTGATAATTATCTTCCTCTTTCTTGAGCTGTTGTGACAAAAAAAAATGTCCCCCATAGGGGATCAATAAAGTTTATCTTTATCTTTATCTCTTTAAATCAAGCAATCTTTTATTAGGGGGCGCTGGTTCATTCATGCATTTTAATGATCGGTCCACTTGCCGCCCCGACAGAAGGGTACCAAAAAAAGTAGGAGGGTACAGTTCCCTTATTTTGGTACCATTCCCAACTTTTGACAGTGGAAACGACAATAAACAGGTCCCATACCATAACAAACAGAACTGAACCTAACCGGACCACTTGTAGGAAACGAGGCTTTAGCGATCTGTTTTTTCATCTTTTGTTTTAAAGAACCCTAACCCCAACCCTAACCATAACCCTTAACCAGCATCAGATCTCTTGTATGTCTCCAGCACACACATTGGGATGACTCTATAATCCAAGTTAAACTTTGAAACATGTGCTGCAGAGCAGTTTGTGAACGCTGTGAATTCAGCACCTATAAAAGAAAGCACCCAGCAGCACTTTGAGCTTTTTATTCACCGCTGATGCCCGAGGTGCTGACTCTGAGCTAATGTGAATTGAAAATAAATGAGGTGGAAATCAGATGTGGCAACACAAACACATGTTCTAACACCCACTTTGAAAATCACCACTCCAGAACGGGGAGCTCATTAGAAACCGCTGTGCGTCTCTCGATTGGTGTGTTAGCGTGCAGCCGCCACACCAGAGTCCATGTGTGTGATTTCACAGCGGGATGGGAGGGGGGACGGGGGGGATGGGAGGGTGTTTGTCTTGTCTCCAGAGGGTCTGTAAACACATTTCCTCGGCTATTTAACATCTGTCCTTTCTTGTAGGTTTTTCGCTTCAGGCACACGAGGCGCTGGGCAAACAGAACGCCGGAGACACTCGGGGGAAATGAAACGGCTGAGATGGGCTGACGGAGGATCTGTGTGTGAGGTCTGTGGGGACGCCATTCCTTTCTAATTAGTCATAATGAATGTTGTTTGTTACTGAATCTGGAGAGACGGAAGGGTCATTAGAAAGACAGTCTGTTCAGGACATTAGTCGAGAGAAGCTCCCTCCAACGGCTTCATTTTCCATATCCAACATGGCGGCCATTTTCCTTTTTGATGCCATAGCAGGGGTGGAGAGCTCGAATTTATCAGAATTGCATCACAACAAAGATTTCAATCTTTACCAAGAAGAAGACTGGATAACAGAGATTCGCTCGTCATGTCGCTGAATTGAAGTGGACGTGGCTTAAACTTTAACCTTTCTTCATTATTCAGCATTTCATTTCATTCTGTCATGCCATCTGAAAGGCGTCTGATCCAACCTTCACAACAGGAGCTGACTAGACTCTTCTCCTCTGTCGCCCCCCGCTGGTGGAATGAACTTCCAAACTCCATGTGATCTGCAGAGTCCCTCTGCACCTTTAAGAAAAAGCTAAAGACCCAGCTCTTTCATGAATACCTACTAACTTAATGATGATGGTCTCCATATTATTGATGATGATGATGGTAATGACGATGGTTTTTGTTTGATAATGACGACTTATAAGATGGTTTCTATACTGATTAGAGCTCTCAAGAACTGCCCTCAATGTTGTGCTTTGCTTCTGGTCACTTCCTGCTAAGTGAATTGTAGAATTACATGTGTGTCATGTTGGAGCACGTGTTTGTATTTTTATGATCACTGATGATGTGCTGTGTGTCCTTCCTCTACCTTCCAGAGGATCCCTGGTGAGTCCCAGCTGGCTGATGATGTAACGAGGGATGTCCGTTTTGATGCCCTGACCCTCTTTAGCGTGTCCTTCAGCCGCCTCCAGGAGGTGGTAAAACTCTTCCGGGTCAAACTCCTGCAGACACAGAGAGGAACACTTTGGTAAATACGACTGATGGTTCAGGAGGGAAGGCAAAGTTTAACGACGAGCAGTCAGTGGTTTTAGAAACAGGAAGTACATTGATCGACTTTAAAAACTCCTTTTTCGAGGTGGAAAAGAGACATATTGCTGCTTTTAGAGAAGAAAAACAGCTGCTACTCTGATTTTAAATACATGAAATCACATTTCTGACCTTCCTGTTGAGAGCACAAACACACACTTTGAGGATACATTTGTGTTTATTTTTAGTCACTTTGAGGAAGTGTGACAACATCTGAGAACACAACAGGCGCATTATTATTAAAATATTCAGCAGTTGCAACGAGGAACGGTCCAGTTGAGTGGCATCAAAACAATTACATGAGTGCTCACAAAGGGTTGTTTTGGTGATTTTATTTTTTTTAAACTTTTTTATAACAAAGAGGGGAACTGTGGTACGATACACTTTTGCAAGCAGATTTAGACAAAAACAAACAATAAAACACAAAACAAAACAAAACAAAAGGGTCAGTAAATAAAAATGAATGAATTAGAAAGAGGGACAAAAATAAGTAAATGAGCAAAAAGGAAATAAACATGGGGACAGTTTAGTAACAAAATGATGTAAAATAAAACTGGTGGGAGAGGTTGTACACATGGTGACGATTTTTTGATGTTTCTGTGATTTGAAACCTACCAGACACTCCAGCAGTCGAGCGGGTCGCGCTATGACGATGAGGATCTTCTTCACCAGCTCTCGGATGAAGTTGACCTCCTCGCTGTCCGATCTCTCCGTCGACTACACGGCAGCCAAAACAGGAAGTATTGGAGATCAGAGTTTAGTTACACTTTCACATTTCACTGGGATTTCTCTAAAAATAAAAACGAGACATATAGAGCGCCACAGGAATGAGTCCTAAAACCAGGAAGTGAGTTAGTATTTGAGCGCCATGGGGTCTAACGTCTAAAAGTCAACGGGGATTTTGAATGTGTTTGTGGTTAGACTCCTGAAATAAGGTCTGTGGTTAACACAAGCTGAAGAGATGTTGGTGTTTTGTTAGAGCACATAAACTACGTTAGGTAATACCTCCACTTGTGAAGTTTGAAGTTTTTACTCGTCTTTAAAAAGGCGGTTGCTAACAAGCGGCTAAATGTGACTACAGCGGTTGTCGGGGACATTAAAGGTCATCACGCCGGACACAGAGGGCAGGAACTCTCTCACTAGTCGGAGATGTCTCCTGTAGGTTTAATCTTTAGGTTAAGGTGAATATTATGTTAGTAAACTATTTATTAAGCTACGTGGATTCGTTTATCAGAGATCGTCTGAAGCATAACGCTAGTGATGTCACAATCATCCGACCGTGGTGTAGTTAGCTTTAGCATAACGTTAGCTTTTTACTTCTGTCGGCCGCATTAACGCTTCAAACATCATAAAAATGGCGTTCATCTGTGAAGATTATCCTGCTGAACAAAACGCCTACGCTTCAGAAACGTGTGTTTGACACAGAGATTATTTTCTGCAATGATCCAAAATCCAATGAAAACATCCCAGAGGAGAATTCTGGTTAGACCCTCATGGCGATGCTACTTCCTGGTTGGCCTACAAAAATAAGTCACATGGTTTGTTCTCTATTGCAGCATCGTTCTGGAAAAACAAACCTCCTGGACGAGCCTCTCCAGCTTGTCGGTGAGCTCGCAGAAGTAGCTGGAGGTGATGAGTCCGAGCCGGCTCTTCTCCAGACAGTCGCGGGCCAGTTCGATGATCTGGTGGTGGGCGAAGCCGAGCACGCCGTCCGCCAGAGGGAGGACGCTCTCTGGAGAGCTGCTGCGGATGATGTCCTGGATCCTCTCCTCCATCTGAGCCGTGGCCTGCAGGTAGCGAGAAGGGGGAGGAGTCAGCTTTGGTAATGCAGGAGATAATTAATGATGATGCAGCTCTGAGTCGTTACCTTAGGAAAGCGCTCCTTGTACACGTGATTCATCATGATAATCTCGTGGTCGTAACACGATGGCGATCTTCCAGGGCTGAAAGACAAATTGGACTCAAGTCAGCAGCAGATTTCAAACAGTAACCAGGTGAGGATAAACAGCGGAGGTGAGTCCGAGTACCTGAGGCTGCGCGAGCGGGGTCGCATGGCCGCGGCCCGGCGGCACTCGTCCCCGGAGATGCTCTCGGTGCAGAAGTGCTTGGAGAGGAAGTGCAGCTCGTCCGGCGTGGGCTGGAAGGGCAGCTGGTGCAGCTTCTCCTGTGATGAACAGGATGACTGGAAATGAAAACACATATATATTCAACATGAAAAAAAAAAAGCAAAAAAGACGACAAATTCCTTTAAATGGATGAAAAAAAAAAACTGTGCATGCTAAACGGACAATTTCGGGTTCAGGCTGCGATTTTTTAATTTCACTTATTAGAGTTCTTGCCCCCTCTGCGCTGAGATAGAAGAGAGAGAAACGAAGGGGAACCGAGTGACAAGCTGAACTGACGATTTAACCCCAAATACATATGATATTCACCTTTTTATTGGTGTCTATGTCAGGCTAATGATTTTCAAAACTTAACCGGTTTTAAAAAACGTGGGAGACCACAGACATCTTCTGAACGCACACACGAGACAGTCCAGCCAGACGGCGAGACCACACACCTGCCGATTGTAGAAACGATTTCACAGACGTGGTCAAACATGACCTCAAAGAAAAACAAAAATGGAGGACGATCAACGTCGTCGTTTTTTTTGGGTCTTTAAATTTTTTTTTAGCTAATGTTGCTATCGTCTTGTGTTATGAATGTGCGTCCTGATTGGTGAGGTTATAAAAAGTAAATATTTAATGTTTATTTGTGTGTTTGTGTCATCACACTTCTGGACACCCCCCTGCAGAGGTCAGCGCTCCCCAGTCACAAAAAGTCTGGACACGCCCCTGCAGACACCTATAAACAACCCTCCCAGTCCAACAAATAGACCTCTTAGTTCAAAGACAAGAATGGAAGTGCAAGAATGGAAAACTCCCAAAAAAATTAAATACAACTAAATAAAAATAAAGAGATAAGCGTGAAAAAATAAAACTACATTTGAGAAGAATAGTATCAAAAAAAAAAATATATATATATATAAAATGACGAGACAAACATAAATAAAAAATAAAAAAAATGAACAAAAAACATGAATCAGGAATTAAAGTGGTTATGTGTATAGAACACAAGTAAATAGGAAAAACAGTCATTCGTGCTTCTTGCTGACTTAAACAGATTTATCTTTTTAATAACCTTCTGCCTCATTTATATGGGTTTCATTAGGGCTGAATAATTCATTCTGTGTGTTGTGGATCTCGCAAAGGCTGCAAAAAAAAAAACATTCCAACAACCTGAAGGAAGCTTTTGTTGAAGCTTTCTCAGTGTGTCAACTGTGAAGGCCCCTACACACCGAGCAAGCGGCAAAGAACGACATGAGGCCAAAAAATTGTACTTGAACACACCGCAAAGACTTCAGCCGACGGCCAACCACCACGTACATTCTGCTCATGCATGAGAGGGGGCGGTAGTCCGTTGTTATGATACGAGAAGACCATTTTCACACCGTTGTCGCTCACCACTCGTATTATAGGTCGCCTACTAATCGAGAATAACGTCTGACTCCATTGGATCTGCAGAGTCCCTCTGTACCTTTAAGAAAAAGCTAAAGACCCAGCTCTTTCATGAATACCTACTAACTTAATGATGATGGTCTCCATATTATTGATGATGATGATGGTAATGACGATGGTTTTTGTTTGATAACGACGACTTATAAGATGGTTTCTATACTGATTAGAGCTCTCAAGAACTGCCCTCAATGTTGTGCTTTGCCTCTGGTCACTTCCTGTCAGCACCTGTGTGTCCAATCAGACTCAAAGCTGATCGTTTGCTCTTACTCACATTGTTCCCTTTTTTCTAGATCCTTGCTTGTGTTGTTCTTACTCTCTGATGTACGTCGCTTTGGATAAAAGAGTCTGATAAGTGAATTGTAGAATTGATAAAAAGGTGAAAATGGAGCTGGCGTTGTCAGTTCTTGGTCTTTTAGTGGAAAAAGAAAAGAAGAGGCGGAGGAGACAAATAAGGAGAAACCGCACTAATGGGTGATGGATACTACAGCGGCATGCTTAAGGGGCTTTCCTGAACCTGTGAGGAGCGCTGGAGAGAAATGAAACCTCCCAACAGCCAATCAGAGAGACTCCTCTCACCGACCGCCGAACAGAGCTGGACACACCGCACACACTCGGCCGATGATCTCCCTGGTGTGTCGGGGCCTTTAGAAGTAAATTAACCAAATGATTAGATAAAAAAAGAGTCTAAGTAATGTGTGAGCGTCTCTGGATTTTGTAGAAGAAGAAGAAGAGAAACTTTCTGCCTGATTGTTTCTGACGTGTAAATAAAATGAAGGAGCGTTCTGTTCCTTCCTCGGCGTTTTCAGAGAAGAAGACGAGAGCACATCTGTGTGAAAGATGAAGCGATCGTCCTCCCGTCTGTCAGTTTTTCACACGGAGAGCGGGGAAGTTAGCTGGGAGGCGATCAGCTGATGAACAGAGCTGTCAGAGAGGATTTCAAGCGCTGAGTGGATTCAGGCTGCGAGACGCTCCCCTCCTGTCAACTCTGTGAAGAGCGAGACTTCATCCGAAACATGACGGAGAAACATCAAATCTACAACTTCTCTTTTGAATGTTTGGAAGCTGAAGCTGTTAAATGTTTTATTTGAGACTTTTATATCATCACTTGTGTTTTATTATTCCTGACTGGTTCAACAAAGAGCATCGGGAGGGAGCGCTTTCACACCTTTGATCGTTTGCTCTGGTCTGGATCATTTGGACTCATTGGTACCATTTTTTGCGTAATTATGCTGCATTTATGTGGTGTCAGAAACATTGGGAAAAACAAGTTTCCGAGTTTCGGAAAATCGAAAAATAATGAGGTGCCCGACTTCCCGATCACATGGAGGGAAAATATGTTTTGTTAATTTTAACCTACTTTTTATTAATTCACGTATTTCACATCAACTTTTTGCTCAAATTTCACTTTTAACATAAAAATTAATAAAAATCCAAAGAAAAGGTACGAAGGGTTATTCCTTCATTACTCTCTTAATTTAATATAATTTAATTTACATACCTGTTATTATTCCACTTTCCACTATTTTAGTCCTATGTATTCTTGTATCTTTAAAAAATTATATATAAAAATGTGTCAGGATGAACAAAATTTGTGATGAAATATGGCAACTTGTAATGCAGTAAAACAGCCTGCAATAAAGTAATGAGTTTAAGTTTTAAGTTTGAACATGAGGTGTAACTGCAGCTCAAAATAAAAATGTTCTGATAGTTCAGGAGAAGGAGCAGGTGAATCCTCCTGAACCAGGACCTGCTCAGACACCCAAAACTGTCCCTGAAGCTCCGTCAGGTCGGCCTGCTGTCGCTAACAAACGATCAGTGATGATGGAGAGAGAGCGAGCGCGGTGGTTACTTCCTTCAGTTAGCTCGGATCGAGGTCGGTTTGTGCTCTTACTACAAACCAACAGCACCAGAGTTTGGAAAAAAGCCGACTGAGACCCACTTTTTCAAGCGATCTGTTTGCGGTTGTTCGGTCCGCATCACCGTTTGAGTGACAGTTGTCATAGCAACGCGAATGAACCGCATTAACTAACCGTTACTCGTTTTGACTTACAGGCAGCGAGGAACAGATCTCAGATTTTGAATGACCGGCGTCTCATCTCCTGAAGAAAAACTAAACATTAGCATCGTCTGAGTTTTTTTTAAGCTTCTTGTCGTCCTGATTTTTCGTCGCCCAAATGAACACTTTTTAAACTTCATGGATTATCGTGTTGGTTTGTTCGGCCGCTCGGCGTGTGTGTGCGTGGGTTTGATGCTTACAGAGACCGTGGAGCTCGGCGTGTTGGTTCCATATCCAGAGGAGGGAAGAGAGGCCAACGACCAGCGGCGCCCATCAGTCCTGTGTCACAAAAACAAAAGGAAGACAAAGAATCATCAAAACCAGCTCAGTCCAGAAACGACCAAAATGCTTTTCAGGGGTTTTTGTACAAAGACAAATATGGAAATCGTCTTCAGGAAGCAGACAAACGTGTTTCATTTCCATGTTTGTATTCACAACATGTTTTTAAGATGAGTGTGGACGTCTCTCTCTCTTGTTAGTTTAAATTACTCGGGGCAGAAATGAAGCCATAAAGGAGCTAAATGAAGACGTGAAACGAGGCGTCAGGACGATGTGAAATGAGACGAGCTGATGCGGGAGGAGGTCGTGAACTTTTAAGGAAATGAGGCGTTTATGAAAATTCAGGCCTGAAAATGAAATTACCTGTCTGCTCTGTGGCAATGACTGTGGATTATAATACAAAATACAGAATTACAAAATAAATATGTTTTACTGCTTCTGAAAGCATAAACAGACTCAACGAGCCGAACAAAAGAGAACAAATCACAACGTCAGGATTTAATCTGCTGTATCCAATCAGTGCTGTTTTATTAGCCCGACTCGTTCAGCCGCACATCGAGTAAATAATCTGTGATCGGGTCTTACCTTCGCGCAAAAGAGAAATGAGCAGAGGCACTGGGAGAGAAGTTACGAGGACTGTCCTGGGGGGCTCGTTCCTGCAGAAGAAAAAAACAGAATTTAAAAAAACCGACCCTATCAGAATGATTTCACATTTTAATCTAAACAAAGACTTGGAAAGAAAAAACACTGATGGCTGTGCAGACAACATGGCAGAGATGTTTAAATTGGCTCCTTTCCTGCATGTCATTCCCTCCTCTCTCTTTCCCTGATTTCTGACTCTATCCTCTGTCCTCTCTCTCCATTAAAGACACAAAAAGCCAAAAATAAATCTTAAAAAAAAAAAAAAAAGATGCTAGTTTAACTAAAGTAGAGAAGTGAATGATGTCTGCTGCAGAAACAAAACGTGTCGAGATGAACTAGAAGTATTACTGCCTCAGCTCTGCAGCAACAACTGACAGGAACCTTCTAGTTCCTGAAGAAGCCGTTCCTTGGATTTTCAAGCCAGAAGAGAGAAATATGTCCACTAGAGCTGGGTATTGTCCAAAACCTCACTATTCAATTCGATTTAGATTCTTTGGGTCACGGTTCGATATTGATCAATATGCTTCGATATCGATTTAATGATACATACAGCTGACAGGAATACTTAGATAACTCGTCAAAGCGAGACACTCAACCCCAACTCCTGCTGCTTTGTCTCTTTACTCAGCAGCCTCTACCATCAGTGTGTGAATGTGTAGGTGTGACCTGCAGTGTTAAAGCACGCAGTCAGAAGACTAGAAAATAAATATACAAGCTCAAGTCCATTTACCATTAACACGAGCCTACAGGCTTATACCCAATGCCCCCCTGGGATTAATAAAGCATCTCCAAGACAGACTGTGAGTGTGAACGTCTCATGTTTAGTTTACAGTCCGCTTTTTTTTTTCTTCAAAAAACAAAGTGATTAATACGCTTGAAAAGTTACATATTGCATCTTTAACTCACGTCATTATATCACAGAAGCGTTGTGCTTCAGCGGTATGAGGAACATTAAACTTTAGGGACCTCTGCATGGCTCTGATTAATCGTCATGTTTCCACAGCTGCACTGTAAAAACAAACCTGTGGTCCAGCATCAATCACACATAATTACACCCCTCACTGAGAGAGCGGACCCAACAGCTAATTAACCCCCCCCCCACTCCTGCGATGACAAGAGGCGGGGCCCTTATTTTCCGTCCTGGGGAACAATGAAGGGGGCCGTGCCTCTTGTTAGTGATGAACGTCACCTTCTTTAATTGCAGTGAAGTTTGAATCACAGCCAATTAAAGACGATAACAGCGTCCTTTGGGAATCAGACTGCACCTGATTATCTACCGAGAAGACATATGGTGCAGGACAATAATGCTGCGTTTACAACTTTTTATCACCATAAATAAAGGTTTTAACTTCTAAACACACCGACAAGAGCTTAAAATATTAGAAAAACAACAAATCTCCAAAGAAAGCAGGATAATTATTCTAAATCAGGATTCTAAGCGAATGAACTCGGCTCAGTTTCCTCTTACCTTTGGCCCCAACATGACGAGCAAGCCACAGAGTTAGGTCCTCTAAAAGCTGAACACATTCATTAGAAAGACTATTCCGACTGTCCGAGTCCATTTTAAAGACTTGAGCTCCTTCGTTAAGAGATTATAAAAATTCAGTGCAGATACGGAGAGTTTGCAGCTCTGCGCCCCGCCGACCAATAGCAGGAAATAAAAACGCCCTGTGGTCTCCCCCTCTACTCCTGTGCATTTCCTCTCTATGGGGCAAACACTTCCTCCTCCGCCAGCACAATCACTGCCCTGCGACCCGTCAGAGCACGGCGAGATTATCACCTCGACAACACACACAAGTGACCTGAAAGATATCACCACTGGAAGGAGAATACAAGTTTAAAGGGTCCTTTAAGTTTCTGCATCCTCCGCTTTCAGGGGCATTAAACCTTATCATGAGTTTAAGGTAACTTTATATTTATCCATCTGATAAAATCAGGACCACGAGGGTGTCAGGTGACTTCTACCGTTCTGATCTGAAGCTCTGAAGCATGATTTAACATCATGTGTTTTGTATTTATTTTATTTATTTTATTTAATCTTTCTATATTTTAAAATTCTATTTTATATATTGTAATATCTTCTTATTCTGTATTATTTAAGTTGTTGCTAGTTCTGCTTTATTTCCTTGTTAATTGTTTAGCACCAATACACCAAGTCAAATTACTTGTATGTGTAAATGTACTTGGCAATAAACCTGATTCTGATTCTGATTCTGATTCTAATTTTCAGACATTTCTCTGAGTCATCACTTCGTTTTGCACGACACAATGGACTGCATATCCTGTTCTTCTGTGCACCAACAGGGACACTGGGTCATGGGAACAAGTCATGCACATAATACAACAAAAACATGCACGTTTTATTTTATTATGGGACATGAATAAATGAACTCTTACCTGTGAGAGAGGACAGAGGCGAGTGGGGTCGAGGTAAACCTGAAGACTGGCCGCTTCCTATCAGGCTTTTTCTATTGCTCGTTCTGCAGCTGTGAAACCAAAAAGTCAAATATTAGCAAAGTGGACAAACAGATATTTAAAGAACAATTTAGAGCAAGAAGAATCCAAACTTTCAGAGTCAGACGTCTGAACAATCAGATCAGACGTATTAATACATTTTACTGGCTGCAAACACTTAAAGTGCTAACCCTTTGAAAACCTCCCGCAGGCTGCTGGATGCACAATCCTGCTTCAACTGATCATAAAAAAAACTCTGAAAGTAGACGCCCGGGATGAAGCAGAAACTTTCGGTTTTGTTTTTCTGCATCAAGATATTGAATGTTTGCAGCAATGTCACAAAGGAGCACAAGGAATTCCATGAAACGAGTCAGGACGCACATCAGGACACTCAAAAATCACCACTTTCGATGCTGCAGATGAAACCTTCAATTGGCCTTTGCGCTGAGATTTATGAAAAAATGAGTCCGATTTAGTATTTTTTGTTGGTTAGGACACATTTCCATCTTGAGACATCTTGATTCAGTCGTACAAAAAGCAGGATTTATATTCACATGTTAATACTGTGACTCACAGGGAGCCACTGTGATGGACAGTGTCCTGACTAATGGATGTGGCCGAGCTTTTCACCTTGACATAAATATAACCTACTTCAACATAAAAGCAGCTTCAGTGGTTCAACGTTTCGATTAGTCCTGGGTTTTCACTTTTCAATGAGAAGCTGTAGGAAGAGTAACATAATGGAGCATGGATTCACTTCAAGGTCAGAGACTCAGTGACATCCTGTTACATAACCTCCTCAGAGAACTACAGCAATTTTCATCTGGCTTTTTCAACATGGCATTCAATTTCAGTTTCTACCCTCTTTATTTTCAAACTCAACGTGCTAAAAGTATTTTTTTTCTTTTAGTGTGTGGAGAGTTTGGCTCATTCAGGCTGTGCTCTTTATTGATTGAACAGCAGATGTCTGCAACAATAACACACAACTGAGCACATGTCTCTTAATCAATTAATCGTTAAATATCAGCGAACATTTTTAATCAAAAAAAACAAAAAACATTTAACTTCCGAAAATTTGGTTTCCGTTAACGTCTATTTCATCAGCTCAACTCAGCTGTCCTCATTTGCTCCTGACTCTCTGAAGAGACGAGACTGCCGACCTGTTTTTATCACTTTATTTCAACTGATAAATCTGCTTCATGTGTGATGCAGCCGAAGAGGAGAGAGAAAGAATGTCCTGCTTCTACTCAGGCTCTCATTTGCTAAAGTAGCCTGGGAACAATGAATGGAAGGTCCTGATTTGTGCAATCAGGTGTCAATTAAGACATGAGAGTACATGAATAAGTACAAAGAATACAGTTGAAAATCTGGAACAACAGAGATTTTGAGGCAATCCGAGGTTCTTTATGGATGCTGTGTGTGTGGATTAAATCTTTTACTGGATTTGGATCGTGGGGACTCTTGCAGATACAGCAGGACGGTTTTTGTTGGAATAGTTTGACCCGAAGAGAACAGCCGACCTTCAGACGGGAAGACTTGTTTGTTTGTCGGTGGTCTGACAGATGCGTAGATTGAGGCTGCTGTGTTGGTTTGACCTTGAAATGGTTCACACGGTTGGAATCACAAGAAACAAAGCTTTATCGAGACGTATAGCGTGGAGCATGGAGTGATACTTGAAGACAGCAGATGTGTAAATATCGGAGACAATGACAAAACAAACTTACAGCCAACAGGCGTCCCGCCAGAGGAGGTGATGTCAGAAAAGTTTCTATAATTTGTAGATTTTGACTCGCACACAGATGTGTAATTTAGAGTTTTCCAAGTCATCAGGGACCATTAAGAACTATTAACATTACATAAAGCTGTTGTATTTGTTGCGTTTTGATGATGCCGATAAGGTTAACATTAATTTCAAGTGTAAATTATCAACAGAATGAACTGTAATAATTACTATCGAAGTTAGCGACTTTGTTAAAGGATTCATGTTTAACCGAGTTCAATTTCTGAGTAACTGAGCCCACCTCTGCACTAGTACCCAAGATTAAATATCTTTCTGAAATGAAACAGGAATATGAGGACAAAACCAGGCATTTCTTAAGCCAATTCTTCCAAAAGCCAAATCACTTTTTTGCGGTGTTCCACAAGGAAGCCACGCGGTCCCACTTTAGTTTGAATTTAAAGGATTATTGAATAAAATTTGAAAGGCACAGGGACCTGTTCTGGAATAATTTAAACACCTCCATTTAACTAAGGATGCATTCTTCTTTTTATTATACAGTGTCTCTCCTAGGGTAGGGTAACCCTAACCCTAACCCTGAAAACACCTGGTGCGAATAAGAGTGTTTATAGCGGTAAAAAAAAGGCAGTACTGTAAGGTTACAGGAATAAGCCTCTTTCTGCACTGTCAGAGAAACATTAATGTAGGTGAGGGAGAGAAAATGAGACAGAGGAGAGAGAAGAACATGACAGAGTTAGAATAAGTGTCAGTCAGTCACTGTGTTGCAGCTTTGATCGCACAGAAAGATCACATGCACATGAGCTTCTGCAGTGCTGCAGAAACGCGTGAGCCGGCGTCCTTCATCTCTTTGTCAACAGTGCTGAGCAGCGGTTTGTTCTGGAGCCAGAGCCCTCAGAGCTTCAATGTCACAGCAGCAAGAGTGAAGCGGCAGGCAACTTTTTTTTTTACAGGATCTGAAAATGGTGTGCAGAATCGTGTCTGACACTTCAGGCTGTGAATGCACTACAGCCTCGGTGTACAGTTTGCAAGCCCTCGATGGTCGAGAACACTTTGGCTTTTTTTTATATATATATAGCCGTTATGATAAAAGGTATTTAAGTATTTCCTTCATCTTTGTTAAATTGTTCATGCTTGGATCTGCCTGGTTTCCCCTTTTTGGCTTGCTGTTTAAATTTTTTTGCATCAACTTGGGACTCACAATCACAATAATCAGATTAGGCGATCACAGCGCCATAAATCCGTGCTGTGTCAGACATAGCAGACTACACGGCGGTACCTGACCAATCATCAGGACCGAGGTGATGATGTTGGAAGGAGGAGGGTCGTGGCTAAATGACACCCGGGAAAAAAAGAGTCAGTGTAAACAAAAAACTGTATTTTCAACAATTTCAACATTCTTCTTTGGCATCACCATTTTGTAACTTTCGGGCTTGCAGAGCGCTCTGTGGTCTCACAGATCAAAAACACTGATGTGACTGAACGCATCACAGAAGGCAGACAATTTCTTTCACATGCTTGACTTTCTTGTATGTCTGTTGGAAGGAGCTATGATCTTGATTTTAACGTGTAATCTGACTTTGGCATTAGGTTTTATTGAATATAAACAATATTCAAGTTCTGAAAGTTTGCAGGATATCTGCTGCACCAAGTGGGTTTATCTTTTTTTCTTCCTTAAAAGTCATGTCTTTACAGGCTTTAGAAGAAGTCAGGTCACATTTTGTAGCTTGTTTACTTTGAGCGGATCCGACCTTCTGATGCTCTGGAGGCCAATATGTATAAAATATCTGAGAATCAAAAGCAGTTAGATCAAATGCTGAAAGTATTTAAGTTGTAAAAGCGTCCCCTTTGGTTTCAGCTTTTCATCTTTTCCAGCACAGTAAAAAAACCTGATATGATGCACATCAGTATTAAAAACTGGCTGGCTTTGGAGCCAATCTCTGATTCCCACTCAGTCCAGTGGACGCTGTGTTAGGATCCACACAGGGCCTGGGGGACGGCTTCACTGCTCATGTTGGTGTTGATTACTTTTCGGGGGCAATTTCTCCACTAATCTGATGAATTGATTTCACAATTGCACCCCAAATATCACTGCACAGAAGAAGGCAGCTAGGCTCCTGCTTATTTTGTGGGTAATTAGCCGCATGCTAATGTGATGATGGAGGTGACAAACAAATTGTGCCGGGGACAAATTATTAACCACCCAGTAGACATGATGGCTTAGCGTTCTTATGCTAACAAATTAGGAAGTGCAAATGTTGGAAAAAGCTTAAAAGCTTTAGAGAAATATCTGACATGAATGTTTATCTGACAAGAACAGTTACCGTCAAGCACCAGTGAGATATCTGACTTCAAGTTTTGGGCAATTTGGGAGGTCTGAATGAACAATATGTAGAACTGGTGTCCAGAAGATAAATCTGTAGTTCTTTTCAAACACTCCAAGTCCATTAGTGGATGAAGTCGATGACGATGGAGCAGCTTTACTTTTGTAGTTTGTATTTTTATTTTGTAGGTAAAAAGTTTAATGACTCCATCTTTAAAGTGTGAGCACATAATTCATGAGCTTTGATCGTGCGTCACAAACGCTTTTACTCGTACCGCGTGAGCCGACATTGCATCACGATCTTCCAGCGTATGCCCGGCCTTAACTGGCAGCAGAAGTTTCTCAATCTGCCCGTTTAGTCCCCCGCTAATGCTCCTTTGGTAACACGGAAATCCTAATTCATCCTCTTAATCATGAGGGGGAAACCCTGCTCTGACTGAAATCCCCGTTCATCCTTGTTTGCTCAAGTGGTTTGTAGGATCTAACCCACGCGAGCTGGCGAGTGCGAGTGTGTACACATGCCGTGCATCATTTATCACAACGATGAGGGGGTCGAGTGAAATCTGGTACACAGGTGCTCGGTGAAAGAGGATCAGATTTAACAAGATCTATTTATACGCTCTCAGTGTGGATTAAGCCAACACAGAGGCCCAATCAAGCCTCTTGTTGCTTCACCCTCTCGCTCTGTTTGTCCCATTAGAGAGTCGAGAGCCACTCAGAGACACATCACCGCCGCTCTCCTGGATCACTTTCCGCAGGTTACGATGGCACACAGGGCGCCTTCATCACGTTTGAAGCCGAGCTGAGCTTCGTTTTTTTTTTAGGCACCTCGGCGTCCAGAACGGCTCAGCGAGAGGAGAGGAAAACGCGCTTCTGTATAGCAAGGCTTTAAAAGTGGGGATAAAGAAAACCCTGGGCGAAGATGATAGGGAGAAAGTAGGCCAGTGTTGTGTGCTGTACTGCAGATGTGTGAG